TGCCCCAAGACCCCTCGTGTCGGAGGGGACATGCCCACCACCCGCTGTCAGGGCCCCCGTGGAACCACCCTGGGACTCATCAGATCACCATGGTGGCACTCAGGGATCCCGGGGTCAGCGAGGATCAAATGCCCCCATCCACCTGCCAAACTGACATCTGAGGCCCTGTCCTTCCTCCAAGCCCTCAGTTCCTCCTGCACCTCAGACTCTGCTCCCGGGAGCCCCCAGCCCGGCAGGGATGGCCACTGCGGTGGGGAGGCGGGGGCTGTGGGTGGCTAGTGGCCTCTGAATCCTCTTTGTCCTTGGCGGGCTCTGGGGACCGCGTGGGGTGTCAGGGATCTACCCTGGGTCAGCTGCATGCGAGGCAAGCGCCCTACCTCTGTGCTGTCCTCTGGCCCTGAACTGACCGTTCTGAATTTAGCGTTGTGCGTGTGTGTTTCCTGCACAGAGAGAAGGGAGCTTTGTGTGCAGACACACACCCAGGCCTGGTGCACATTGGCGCCTCCAGAAACGGCTCCCCTCCACCCCCCCGTCTCGTCTCCCGGTGGATGACCACCACTGCCAGAATGTGCCCCTGCAAGAGGCTTGCTTTGGGCAGCGTCGTCTGGTGCAGTGAATAGACCCGGGGTGGGGGGTCTGAGCCTTACTCTGTCACAAAGGTCCCGGGCAGTCCGGCGTCCCCAGCCCGCCACTCCTCGCCCGGTGCCCCTCTTTGTTATGCCGGCGACGCTGAATTCTAGAAATGGCCCCTTGGCATCATTCTCACGACTGTTCAGTGTTTTCACGCCAGGAGGATGTCGAGGACACGGGCAGGCACGGACAGGCCCACACGGGGCTCGCGGCAGGAAGCCAGGCGGGGCCTTGCAGTCTGTGTTTCTCCTGTCCGGGGACTGTGGGCACGTCTGGGCCAGAGCGAAGGTCCTGCTGCCCCCTCTGAGCCTGCCCGTGCCAGGGCACAAGCTGCCCTCCCTGCCTCAGCAAGTCCACGGCCAGAGGAGGGAAGCAGGACCACCAGGAGGCAGGGCTGGTGCTGATCCAACCCATTCCCCGGGGCCGGTCCTGGCTGCTTTCGGGGGCTTGGACCAGGCTGAGCTCTGTCTCCCTTCGACCCAAGCAGCCTCACCCCTGCCCCTGGAGTCACACCCCTGGTTTTGAGTTTACACATGCGCTTCCTTTGCTTCGTTGTTGGTTTTTGTTTTGTTCATTTGGGGGCCACACCTGGTGGTGCTCAGGCCTCACTCCCTCCTTCCTTTGCCTTAAATGTAAATTTTTTTTTATTATTTACTTTTTTTTTGTTTTTTGGGTCACACCTGGCAATGCACAGGGGCTTCTCCTGGCTCATGCACTCAGGAATCACTCCTGGCGGTGCTCGGGGGACCACATGGGATGCTGGGGATCGAACCCAGGTCAGCCACGTGCAAGGCAAACGCCCTACCCACTGTGCTATTGCTCCAGCCCCCTTAAATGTAAATTTAAATGCTGGCGCCCGAGAGATACTACAGCGAGGAGGGTGGTTTCCTTGCATCTGACGCGGGTTCAAACTCCAGCACCCAATATGGTACCCAGAGCCCCATCAGGGTGATCCCTGAGTGCAGAGCCAGCGGGTAAGCCCTGAGCACAGCCAGCATGGCACTCCAAAACAAATACTAGTACTAATCAATAAATGTAATTCACATGCTGCATACATTAAGAAGCTACTGTTGGCAAGCAGAACAGCTCATTGAAAGACAGTGCATGGGGCTGGAGCAGTAGCACAGCAGGTAGGGCGTTTGCTTTGCACGCGGCCAACCTGGGTTTGATTCCCAGCATCCCATGTGGTAATTACTCCAAGCACCGCCAGGAGTAATTCCTGAGTGCAGAGCCAGGAGTAACCCCTGTGCATCGCCAGGTGTGACCCAAAAAAGCAAAAAAAAAAAAAAAAAAAGTGCAGGGGTTAAGGCGCTTGCCTGGCCTGCGGCTGACCATGGCCAGCTCAGCCCCCAAGTACCGCCAGGGGTCACTCCTGAGCCAGGAATTGCCCCTGATCACCCGCAGGTGTGACCCCACACCCTCCCCCTCCCAAACACAGAGACCGAAGCCTTCAGACTCCTAAGTGAGCTTTTCTGCCTCCCTCCCAGCTCCAGGCGCTGGAGGAGCAGATGAGGGAGGGCGAGGGGCCAAGGGCTCCGGGCGCACACCCGGGCCCTCTAGGGAAGCACGTGACACTCTCACCTCCGCCGGTTCCTTCTCTGCAAGCCTGCGCAGCCACCTGGTCTCCAGGGACTGTTCCCGGACGAGCTCAGTGCCCTCTGCCTCACCCGGGTCACCCAGGAGTGGGTGCGGGGCCAGGGGCGGCTGTCCCAGCCAGAGAGGAGGACTGATGACCAGGCACAGGCAGTCTTTCCTCTTTGCCTTCGTCGGGCTGTGCCATGTTTCCTGGCATCTCTCAATTGGCTGGTTAACTTCTCCCCTCTCTAGCCCCAAAAGCCCACCCCCTCCAGGAAGCCCTCCCAGATCACCTCAGCACGAGTCCCACACCCAGTGGTGCTCAGGGCTTACTCCTGACTCTCCTGTTCTGGGGTCACTCCTGGTGATGCTCGGGGGGACCCTGTGTCATTCAGGGGATGGAACAAGGTCAGCTGTGGGAAAAAGCCAGCTGCTTTACTCCTGTGCTAGGTCAGATCCCATGAAGAAATTCTTTTTGTTTTTTTTTTTTTTTCAGGAGTTAAACAAGATCCTTCTTGCTTTTGGCCTCACCCCTGTGGTGCTGGGGGTGGCTTCCGAGGATGCTCAGGGGGGACCATGTGGTGTCAGGGTTGGAACCTGGGCCGGTCGTGTGCAAAGCCTGGGCTGGTCTCTCCCCCTCTCTCCCTCTCCTAGGGAGCAGCGGGGTCAGCCTCCCAGCAGACTTCGGGTGGATTCTTTTTATTTTGGGGGGCAGGAATGCACGGAGGACACATCAGCGTGGGTCGGGTAAGAAGCGGTGGCCGACAGAGCAGATCAGCGGGCTCTGGGGGGTTCTGTTTCCTAGTTTCTCTTTGGCCCGGAGGGGCAGGGGTGAACGTGAAGGGGTGACTCACCCTTTTCTGGACCCAGGTGGGAGTTTCGGGTCCCTCCCCAGGACCTGTGCAGGGGCGCTGAGGACCTGCGCAGCTCCAGGAAAAATGTTAATCCCACGGTCATTTATTTGGGCTTTAGAATAGAGGTGCGCTTGTGTCGGATTTTCCTGCCTGATTACTTTCTGCTTAAGCTCATTTTTAAATGGTCTGAAATTCCTGGACTGTGTCAGCAGGGCAGGGCGGGCTGGGCAGGGGGTGGAGGCCGGCCGGGACTGAACCCGAGGCCCAGGTGCCCGCGGTGGCCCGGCCCTCTCAGGCTTTCCTGGGGAAGGGGCCGGCGGGGTCTGTGAATCTCACCCACGCGCCTCTGCGTGGTGGGAAGAAGCAAGTGCGGAGCGGGAGGGACGGGCCCCAGCCCACGGCCACGGCACCAAGCACAGGGCCCGAGCTCCAGCTCGAGACGCAGGAGGGGACCCACTGGCTCCCGCACGGAGCGGAAATGGGCTGGTGCGCGGGGGGGGGGGGGGGGGGGGGGGGTGAGAAGGGGGTTGGGCGAGGCCCAAGGGTCCTGAGCAACAGGGGAGAACCTGGGCTTGAAGAGCAGTAGCCTGCCTGCCTCTTCCCTCCCCCACTCCTCCCCCTCCCTCCTTCCCTCCTCCCTCCTCTCTCCCGCCTTCCTCCCTCCCTTCCTCTATCCTTCCTTCCTTGCTACTTTCCTCCCTCCCTCCCTCCATCCCTTTCTCCCTCCTTTCCTTCTTTGCTCCCTTGTTGCCTTCCTCCCTCCCTCTTCCCTTCTTTCTGTCCTTCCTCCCTTGCTCCCTTCCACCCTCCCTTCTCAGTTTCTGGTTCCGGGTCACACTCTGGCGTGGACGGGCTGCTCCTGGCTCCGTGCCCAGGGCCGCGCGGTGCCGGGGAGAGCAGCCGGGCCCCAGCATGAGACGGACGCACGGCAGTTCTCTGCCCCATCTCCCCAGCCTGGGACTTTCCGAATCTCTCCTCGCCTTCTGAGGGCGGTTCCCCACTGATCTCGTTTGGAGCTTTTCCTTCTATCTCAATGTCAGTTCCACTTGGAGCCAGCCTCTGATGGGGGGTCACGGCGAAGTGGAAGGCTGTGCTGAAGAGGCCGCCCCGCGGTGACCGTCCCCTGCTCAGGCTCCTGCTCCTCCTGCGGGCGGGTTCTCGGAAAACATGCGAGGGGAAACCCCGCGTGCCGGGCTCCCTGGGCCTGGGTAAGCCTTGTGAGCATGGTGGCGATCGGGGACACACACGTGCCCGCGCTTACAGCACACACACACACACACGTGCACCCACACTTACCACATACACACCACACACATGTACACACTCACCACACACACGCACCTCACACTCACTACACACACCACACACACACACACTCTCAACACACACACAGACTCACCACACAGACTCACTACACGCAGGCCTGCACACACCCACACACCCACACACCCACACTCTCCACACATACATGCCCACCCACACATACACACATGCCCATACCATACACCCACACTCACCACACACAGACGGCCCAGCCCCTACTACACACATGTGCCTGTGCCCACCACACACATGCCTACACTCACCACATATACACACGCTCACCACGTACACACACAGCACACAGGTGCCCATGCCCACACTCTACTTATATACACACATGCCCACCACACACACACACACACACACACATACATACATGTGCCTGCATTCACCACATACACACACACACACTTGTGCCCACCACACACAAACACACCTGCCCACGCACTTGGGCATAAACACGTACCCACACACAGAGTAGGTGTGTCTCTTGGGGTCTGTGTACGGCTCACTGTCACGAGCAAGTGACCATCCCAGGGCTTTGGCTCAGGGTCGTCCTGGTTGTTCCCTCGGGCACGTGAGGGTCTCACAGCGCGGCCGCCCCTCTGCTTCCCGCAGTTTCCGTACGCTGCGCCGCCCCCCCAGGAGCCCGTGAAGACGCTGCGAAGCCTCATCAACATCCGGAAGGACACCCTGAGGCTCGTCAGGTGAGGGGCCCCTCAGGCCGCTCCTTCCGGCTCCTTCCTGGTCCCTGACCCACCCACACCACGCCCATGTGGGGTCTGCGGGGAATGGGGAGGTCCTGCAGCACAGGAAGCCCGGGCACTGGCGGGGCTCCACACACCCACACACTCATCCACCCCACACACCAGACAAGCACACAACCCACACTCACACACACCCGCCCACACTCACCAGACACACATCACCACCCCCCACACACTCACACGTACCCACACCCCATACACACATTTACACACCGTCACACTCATACACACACACTTATACACGCACACTTATACAATCACATACACACTCACACATATATACTTATACACACACAATCACATGCACACTCATACACAGTCACACTCAGACTTAAACACACAGTCGCACTCATATACACACAGTCACATACACTTATACACACACACTTATACACACACTCACATTCATTCACATATACACTCATACATACACATACTCTCACACTTATACGTACTCATTTACTCACACTTATACACACACATATACATTCATACACACTCATTTACTCACACACACTTATACACACACATTCATACACACTCACATACATTCACACACACATATGTGCGCGCGTGGCTGTTCTGTCCGAGGTGGGGCTCTGGGGCCTGGCCAGTGCTCAGCGTAAGGACAGCTGGGATGCGGGCCAAGTCCGTCTGTCCGCTGTCTGGAGGATGCTCCCCTGGGGAGACGGGAGCATGGCCCGGTGTGGTCTCCAAACAAAACACCAAAAGACTCACCTCCTGGGTGGCGCTTCGGCATGGGCTGCGGTCTGGACACCCGTTGGTGTCCCCCACCAGGCCCCGGGCTGCTGTGCCCATCTGCCCCAGCCCAGGGGGACGTTTTTCATGATGGGGCAAGCAGCTGATGGCAAGGCAGTGTAGTCGGCATGTGAGGCCATCGCAGACACCCCGTGCCCCCAGTATGCCGTGAAGGAGACCACGGGCCATCCAGGGGGCGGGGGACAGGAAGGGCAGGGCCAAGCCCACAGCTTGTGCTTTCCAGATGCGCTGAGGAGGTGAAGGCGCCTGGCGAGGAGACGAGCAAAGCCAAGGCACACTACAGCGTGGAGTTCACCTTCGACACGGACGCCCGTGTCGCCATCACCCTGTACTACCAGGCCACGGAGGAGTTCCAGAACGGCATCGCCAGGTCAGGGGCCATGGGGGAGGACCTCGCCACACCCCGGAGGGTCAGAGAGCCTGCACGGAGGCCGACGCCAGTCTTGGCCAATTCGTGACTTTTCCTCGGAGCCTTCCCTTCCTGCCCCAGTGGCAGGGAGCCCCCGCAGGTCTGGGGGAGGACATGCAGACCCCCACCCCAAGCTCTTCCCGAGGGGCATGCACACAGAAGACCCCGGAGCATCCCACGGGTCCTAAACGTCCCTCTGCCCCCAGCTACATCCCCAAGGACGGCGGCCTGCAGTCGGAGACGGTACACTATAAGCGCGGCGTATGCCAGCAGTTCTGCCTGCCCTCCCACACCGTGGACCCCTCCCAGTGGGCCGAAGAGGAGGTGCGTGTCTTGTGGAGGTGGCAGACGGGCGGGGTTGGGGGGATCCCAGCCAGCTGCGGGGGGCAGGGGAGTCTGTATTGGCCTTTCTAAGGTCACGTGTCCCCCGCCCTGTCACCTGGCCCAGAGAGGGACGCGCCTGACCCAGCCCCAACCCAGGCTCTCGCCTCCCCGCAGGGGAGGATTAGGGATGACGGCCTTCAGCCCAGTTTCCTTTTTTTCTTTTTGGGTCAGACCTGGTGATGCTCAGGGGTTCCTCCTGGCTTTTCACTCAGGAGTTACTCCTGGTGGTGCTCAGGGGACCATATGGGATGCTGGGAATTGATCCCGGGCCAGCTGTGTGCCCTGCAGTGCTAGTGGTCCTGCCCCTCAGCCTGGTTTCTCCTCCTTTCCCTTCAGCTCGGCTTTGACCTGGACCGTGAGGTGTACCCGCTGGTGGTGCATGCCGTGGTGGACGAGGGTGACGGTGAGGGCTCCCTGCACATGCACCTGGGAGGGGTCCCTCCCTTGTGGGCGGCACCAGGCCACAGCTGGGCACCCAGATTGGGGGGCCGCTGCAGGTATCTGGGATGGGGGGTCGCCGAGGGGGCGCGGGGCCCTCCTGCCATTCCTCTCTCTGTCTCTCTCAGAGTACTTTGGCCACTGCCACGTGCTGCTGGGCACTTTTGAAAAGGTAAGAGGGGCTTGGTCAGGCCTCTGAGGGGTCAGGGAAGCCCCCGTGGCTCCCAACTACTGGCTGGCCTGGGCGTTGGCGACGGAGTCGGGAAGCTTCAGCCATCACAGGGCCGTGTTCAACGCTGGGGGCCTCGGTTTCCTCCTCTTGAAACAGAGGGGTGGGACTGGGCCCCTCCAGTGAGGCCCCGTGTTGCGCACTGGGGGAGTCCACGCGGGAAGAGGCCAGGAGGCCGGGCACCCCCCAACCGCCTGTCCCTTTCCAGCACACAGACGGGACTTTCTGCGTGAAGCCCCTCAAACAGAAGCAAGTGGTAAGGGCCGGCCGCTCCCCTGTCTGTCTGTCCGGCTGTCTGCCTGTCTGTCTGTCTGCCTGCCTTCACTTCTCTCGCTGTCTGTCTCCCGTTCTGCTCGCTGGTGTGTTAAGGGCTCTTCTTTCCCACCCGCCCCCTTTCTGGAAGTAAAGGGACAAGGGCAAGGGTGTGCTTTTGTGTGAGGGAGCCAGTGGGGTGACCTGAAGGGAATACTGATCTGGGGTGTCTGCTGTCCCATGGCCTGTCACCTGACTCAGGCCTCCGGAGCGCTCCTTTGTTGTACAATGCCAGCCGAGAAACATTTCAAGCCCAGGCCCAGTGCGGGGGCCGGTTGGGGGCAGCGGGAACCCTGGCCTACCTTCCCCCTCCGTTGCTTCCCTGGACCCCGCGCTGTGGCCGTCTGCGGCCCGTGAGAGCGGGGCTGGCCTGTGTCCCGGGGCTGGAGGCAGGCCCACCCAGCGGCTGAGCAGAGGCAGGGCAGAGGTGTGAAATGCAGAGGGCTGTGCGTTCCCTGGGGCCAGGCGCTTCCCCTCTCTGGGAGGCCTCCATCGGTGGCAACGCAGGAGTCTGACTTCGACGACACGCGCCTGCCCCAGTGTTTAATAGCCCGAACACTTTAGAGATGGGAGGAAGCCGACGCCCCCCCGCCCCCCAGCAGGCCTGCTCTCAGGGGGACGCTGGCTGGAGGGTGGGACGGAGGGAGCAACAGCTGGGAGGCAGCCTGGAGGCGGTGCCTATGTACCCTGGTGCCCAGGAGTGGAACAGGGCCTGGACACACGCCAGAGGACAGCAGGGAGGGTGCTGGCACTTGCCTTACACGCGACCAGCACTGTTGGGTCCCCAGAATCCCACGTCAGCCCCCCGAGTCCCCCCAAGAGTAGACCCTGAGCATTACCGGATATGGTCCCCACGCCTCACCCCCCAAAAAAATCATCAAACAGAACGGGGCTCGGGAGACAGTACGGCAGGGAGGGCCCTGGCCTTGGTGCAGCCAGGCTGGGTTCGATCCCGCCACTGCATAGAGCCCCCTGAGCCCCGCAGGGAGTGATCCTGAGCACTTTAGGTGTGCCCTTCCCCAGAAAACCTGAAGCAAGAGAGAGAAGTGCTGGGGGGGCAGCGCCCCACCCCTACCCCTCTTACACCCCTCCGCATCCTCCTCTTCAGTCTTGCCCCTCTTGACACACCTGCCCCGCGTCCCTCTCTGCCGTGGGGCTTCCTTCCCCCGCTTTCCTCCCTTCCTCACTGTGGGCTCCACAGGCTGCGGGCACTCTCTGTCCCCCTGCGTGCCCCTGGGGCTGTGACAGGGCGGAATGAACATGGGCCCCCTCCCAAGGAGAGCCCCCCGGGCAGTGCCCCTGCAGCCTGGCCCATGCTGTGCTGTGCCCTGGATTTCCGGGCTGAGTCCTCGCCCTGGGGGAGCTGGGGATGGGGGCGGCAGGAGAGTCTCCGGCCCTTCAACGCTTGCCATGGTTCCTCCAGGTGGATGGGGTCAGCTACCTGCTGCAGGAGATCTACGGCATCGAGAACAAATACAACACGCAGGATTCCAAGGCAGGCCCTGAGAGGGGCGGGGCTGGGGTTGAGGGAGGGCGTGGCCTGAGAGGGGCAAGGGCTGAGAGGGCGGGGCCTGATAGGGGCAAAGCCTGAGAGGGGAGGGGCGGGGCTGCGGGGCATACTCTGAGAGGGCGGGGCCGGGGCTGAGGGGGGGGGGAAGGCTGAGAGGGGCGGGGCCGGGGCTGAGAGGGGAGGGGCCAGGGCTGAGAGGGGAGGTGCTTGAGAGGGCGGGGCTGGGGCTGAAAGGAGAGGGGCTTGGGGCGGGGCTTGAGGGCGGGGCCGGGACCTGGGAGGGGGAAGGCTAAGAGGGACGGTGCCTGGGCTGAGAGGGGAGGGGCTCTGGCGGTGGGATGGGGCCTGAGAAGGGTGGGGCTTGGGTGGGGCGGGGCTAAGAGGGGAGGCACCCTGGGGTGCCCCTGCCACAGACTCCCAGGAGGGATGCGGCCTGGGAGCCGCGTGGATTGAGGACACCGTGTCCCCACGGGCAGGTGGCCGAGGACGAGGTGAGCGACAACAGTGCCGAGTGCGTGGTATGTTTGTCGGACGTGCGGGACACCCTGATCCTGCCCTGCCGCCACCTGTGTCTGTGCAGCGCCTGTGCCGACACCCTACGCTACCAGGCCAACAACTGCCCCATCTGCCGCCTGCGTGAGTGCCCACCCGCCCGCGGCCCACCCACACCTGCCCACCTGCCCGCCCCCACTCCTGCGCCCAGACTCCCGCCTCGTGTCCCGCCTGCAGCCTTCCGGGCTCTGCTGCAGATCCGCGCCATGAGGAAGAAGCTCGGCCCCTTGTCCCCCGCCAGCTTCCACCCCGTCATCTCCTCCCAGACTTCCGACTCAGAAGAGCATTCGGTGAGTCAACCCAGAGCCAGGCCTGGGCACAGGACCCGGCTTTGGGGAGGGTGTGGGGGGTCACCAAAATGTTCAACTTGCTAGTGGGGCCACCGTGCCCAACCTGCCAGGCACACAGGAACCAGCCTGCTTCCTGGGGAAATGCAGTGCCCTATTGGCATGGGCCCTCCCGGAGCCCCGCATTCCTGGGCAGTCCCCTGCTCGGCACCAGGGTTCCTGCCTCGGGCTGGAAGGTCTCTTCCACTCTCACTCATCTCTCTCTGTCCCGCTGCCTATCCCAGTGTCGGGCGCCGAGTGGGACGCTCACTCCCCCAGCTCAGAGAAGGGGATGGTGTTGGAGCCAAGCCTCCAGGCTTGGGGTCACCGAGGCATGAACCCCGCCTGTTTGCAGGGTCCTGCATCAGGGGGTGTGTTCCCGGCCAGCAGGCGATGCCGGGATGGGTGAGCTCCTTGGGAGGGAAGTGCCATGGGGTCACTAGTCAGTGGCATTAACAGCAGAGCGGACCAGGCCAGGCAGTGAAGTCCTGGAGTCGCTTCCAGGGTTCTTGGGGTGACTGTTGCTTGGGAGGTGCTCGCCGAGCTGAGACACCATGGAGCATCCCAGCAGTTCCTCCGCGGATCTCTGCAGGGCCAGGAGGTGGCCCAGCTGGGCCCAAGCTGCACACGGGGGGCCCTGCGCCAGAGGGCCCCTGAGCACCCTGAGGTGTGACCCCTAGTTGAGCAGGAATGCCCCAGAGGAAAAGGTGGTCAGGTTTGGTTGGTTTGGGCTAGTGGAGGACCCTTTCGAGGCTGCTAGGGGCTCTTAGGCCCATGCACGGTGCTGGTGGTGAAACTGGACTCCGTGCATGCCGGCACTTATGCCGACCCTTGAGCTGTGTCCCTGGCCCTGCCAAGTCTTTCTTTGGAATTCCGTGCCCAGGGCTCTCACATGTGCCGCAGGTGATCCAGCCCTCTGCGCCATCTCCCAGCAGTAAATCTTTGGGAGAAATACCTGTATCCACATGTTTATCCCAGAGGAAAATCTGGGAATTCCTCATATCGGATGACAGGAAATCCTCAGAGGAGGGGACTAACAGCCATGTTCAAAATCAGAGCCTTTTCCACCCATCACATTCCAAAACTTTCCTTGAGTTTATTTCTTGTTTGTTGTTTTGCCTTTGGGGCCATACCCAGAGGTGCTCAGGCCTTGCTCCAAGCTCTGCTCAGGGATCTCTTCTTGGTGGGGCTCTGGGGACCGAACCCTGTCCGGCCACAAGCACGGCAAGTGCCTCCCTCTGTGCTGTTTCTCCGTCCCTAGAACCTTCCTTTCTTAAAAAGAATGTATGCTTGCAGAGAAGCAATTAAAGTAGATATTCTGTACTGCATAATTGGAAAGATAATTGGAAAACTGTAGCACTGCTGCACTGTCCTCCTGACTCTTAATAACTCTTGCTCTTCCCCGCCTCTCTCCTTACTCCAAGGAGAATAGCACTGCACTGCACTGTCCTCCCGTTGTTCATCGATTTGCTCGAGTGGGCACCAGTAATGTCTTTGTTGTGAGACTTGCTGTTACTGTGTTTGGCATATCAAATATGCCACGGGAAGCTTGCCAGGCTCCGCCGTGCGGGCAGTATACTCTTGGTAGCTTGCCAGGTTCTCCGAGAGGGAGAAACTGCATAAAGCTCAAAGCTTTTAAAATGAACATTTATAGCATTCTAGAATGATCTAAAAACACAGAGAGAGATGTCCCTAGTGACCAGGGTACCTTTATCATGGGTTTGCACACACGCTGCATTGCTTACGCGTACATTCTGCCGTAGCTGGGATCAAACCCGGGTCTGCCGCGTGTAAGGCAAACACCCTATCTGAATTCAACACCAAGAAAGTGACCTGAATAAAGGGACATTTGCACACATCCTGTAGATAGTAGCAGTGTTTGCACATTGTCCCCATCATCAGAGACAGCAGCAGTGTTTGCACACGGCCCGTCATCAGGAACAGTAGCAGTGGTCAGAGCTGGTCCTGGGAGGCATAGAAAGGGGTTGTGTGTGAAGGGTATAAGCCGCTAGGACAGTGCTGGAGCAGGGTGACCTGTAGAGAGGCCAGAAAGCTCCAGAGCGCTGCTCAGAAAGTGATCTGATGACCTCAGGTCAGTTCCCTCCTTCCTTTTGTGTCCAAGCACCCTCATGAGCAGAATCTTCACCAAAATCAAACAGTCACAGTGAATTTCTCCTGGGGGGTCCCAAGAGGTAGAAATGACAAGCGGGGCCCTTGCCGTGCGAGCAGCCAAGCTGACTCCAGCCTGTCCGTATTCAGTCCCCTGAGCAGAGTGAGGAGCAGGCCCTAAGAACAGAGCCAGGAGTGAGCCCTGAGCACAGAGCCAGGAGTCAGCCCTGAGCACAGAGCCAGGAGTCAGCCCTGAGCACAGAGCCACGAGCAGTCCCTGAGCACAGAGCCACGAGCAGGCCCTGAGCACAGAGCCACGAGCAGTCCCTGAGCACAGAGCCACGAGCAGGCCCTGAGCACAGAGCCATGAGCAGGCCCTGAGCACAGAGCCCGGAGTGAGCCCTGGGCACTGCTGGGCTCAGCCCAGAAGCAAAAACATAACAAGGAAGTTTTGGCGCCAGGACTGCCTGTCTCTAGGAGGAACCGACGCCCTTTCTGCCTGCTCCCAGGCCAGCTGCAGACAGACACAGGCAGAGCTGAGCCGAGCAGGTAATGCGATCACAGCCACAGAAAGGGCGCTAGGTTCATGTTCACCCTGTCTCTGGTTCCCCAGTCCTCAGAGAACATTCCTCCTGGCTACGAGGTGGTGTCGCTCCTGGAGGCCCTCAACGGGCCCCTCACCCCATCCCCCGCCGTCCCCCCGCTGCACGTGCTCGGAGACGGCCCCCTCTCAGGGACGCTGCCCTCCTACGGCAGCGATGGCCACCTGCCCCCCGTCAGGACCCTCTCCCCGCTGGACCGTCTGGCTGACCGCAGCGGCCCAGGACTCCAGCTCAAACGGAGCCTGTCCAAGTGAGTGGGGCCAGCCCTGAGCAGGAGAATGCATCCTCGGGGCCGTGGCAAGGGGTCCTAGGCTGCACCCCACACCTGGGCGGGGGGCTGGGGGGCTGCGGGCCTGCGGGCCAAGCCTCTCACCGCACTGGCGAGTGGGACAGGCTGACGCCGGCAGGGGATGGGCTGGAGAGACAGGACAGCGGGGAGGGCGCTTGCTTTGCGCATGGCTGTCCTGGGTTCGATCCCGGGCCTCCCCTCACGCGCTCTCAGGCATGTCCCTGAACGCAGAGCCAGGAGTAGCCCCTGAGCACGGCCTGGTGTGGCCCAGATATGCAGACTGAGGCCGGGAGGGCTGTGGGGCCAATGGCTCTCCAGCCCCCCTGCGCCCGTTGGCGCCTGGACGGGCGGAAGGAAGCAGGCGCCGGCGGGTAAGCGCGAGGCCCCCCGGCTGCCAGGGCTTCCCCCCGGGGCCCGTGGCTGCCCCTGGCTTTGCTGCTGCTCTCCTCAGCTTTGCCGCCTTCCTCCCTGCAGGTCTGTGTCCCAGAATTCGGCTGTGCTGCCCGAGGAGGAGGACGGGGAGGACGGCGAGGAGGAGCCGTCCTGCAGCGAGTCGGAGACGCGCCTGTCCCCACGGCCACCGGCCCAGCACCTGGGGGAGGCAAGTCCCGCAGCCCCGCAGCCCGGCACCCAAGGATTGGGGCCCCCGCGGGAGGGATGCGGAGGCTTCCGTATACATGGCAGGTTCTCGTATAAAAACCCCCAGGTACCCCGAGGGGCCGGTTGCCAGCACAGCGCCAAAGCCCACCTCCCACGCCATGTGGGACTTCAGGCTTCTGCGGGGAGCACTGCAGACCACGAGAACACCACGGCCGAGGGCCCCTTCCCCAAATCGCCTGCCAGCTTGGCCAAGCGTTGCCAGGCTGCCCCACCCCCCGCCTCCCACACGGCCCATGAAGCCAAGAAGGAGGGAGAGCTGGCCGCTGTCCTGTGGCCGCTGTCCTGTCGGGGTGGGGAGGAGCTGGACATGGCGGCCACGGGCGGGCACCCCCAGGGGTGTGTGAGCAGCGTGTGGGGGACAGTGGCTCGCAAGGCAGAGGTCACAGCACCCGTGGAGGGGAGGGGTGTTTGGGGCTGGGCTCACTGGGCTGAGGAACCGGAACCTGCTGTCTGGGTGTGGAGGGGACATTTCTGGCCGGCGCGGGCGGGCTGTGGTCAGTGGCCGCTCACTTCGCAAGGCCTGGCCGATGGCAGGACACAGGCAGGCTGGGGAGATGGCAGTGAAATGGGCACCGTCTGGCCACCAAGAGCTAGGAAGCTCCTGGTCGGGAAAACGCGCTGGCAGAGAGCCAGACGCGGGCCTGTGTGTCCGAGGGGGCTCTGTGTGTGTGTGTGTGTGTGTGTGTGTGTGTGTGTGTGTGTGTGTGTGTCGGAGGAGGCTGGAGGACTGTGTGTGTGGGTCTGTGTGTGTGTGTGTGTGTCGGAGGAGGCTGGGGGACTGTGTGTGTGGGTCTGTGGGGGCTGTGGGGCCGCAGGACTGGACGGCCATGGGGTTGTGGCCTGGGCCGCGTCTGCTGTCCCTTCTCCTGGGTCGCTGGTGTCCCGTGTCACAGCTGCCTGGCCGTGTCACCCGAGCTGCAGGCAGTGCGGGCCATCTGGCTGCAGCAGGCCCTGGCCTCCTCCTGACCTGCTGCCAGGCCCCCCTCACCGCCCTCCCTCGTCGCCCCCTAGGACTGCGGTGTGACCCCCGAGAGCGAGAACCTCACCCTGTCCTCGTCGGGAGCCATCGATCAGTCGTCCTGCACCGGCACCCCGCTCTCCTCCACCATCTCCTCCCCTGAGGGTGCGTGGGCTGGGCTCCCCCCAGGGCTGTCTTCAGGGGCTTGGGGGGGCGCATGTGGGCAGGAGCCCAGAGCGAGCCACGCCCCTTGTCCTGCCCAGCCGCGCTCAGCGTCTCCTTGGGGCTCTTGGACGTGGTGGCCGGGGCGAAAGTGTCCCCCCGGGCCCGAGCCTGAGCCATCCCCACCCCCGCCCCGTGCCCGCAGAGCCCGCGAGCAGCAGCCTGGCGCAGTCGGTCATGTCCATGGTGTCATCCCAGAGCCGCCACTCCCAGCTCAGCACCGACACCGTCTCGTCCATGTCCGGCTCCTACGTGGCCCCCGGCACCGAGGATGAGGCAGAAGCGCTCCCCTCCCCCCGCGCCGCCAGCAGGGCCCCCTCGGAAGAAGGGGAGGTGAGTCCCGCCATTCCGTGTCCGGGGGTGCGCCGGAGGGGGGTGGGAGACGCCCCACTTCTGCCCCGAGGGCCCCGGCACCTCTGACGCTGCTGTCCTGCAGGCGCTGCCCGGAGCGTCTCCAGACCGGAACTTCGTTGGCCTGGAGGAGCAGGATGCGGAGGTACGGTCGGGGCTGCACCAGGCACAGGGGCCTCAACACCAGGGGCTTCCGGGGAAGATGGCCTGTGAGCCTCCGTTTCTCCTCAGCCCTGCTCTCCTCACCCCAGTCTTCCCTTAATCACCACTCCCCTCACCCCAATCTCCCCTTACCCCTGCTCTCCTCACCCCACCTCCTCTCAGCCCTGCTCTCCTCAGCCCATCTCCCCTGACGCCTGCTCTCCTCACCCCATATCCCCTCAGCAACCCCCACTCTTCTCACCCCATCTCCCCTCACCCCTGCTCTCCTCACTCCATCTCCCCTCAGCCCCCACTCTTCTCACCGCATCTCCCCTCAGCCCTCACTCTCCTCACCACAATCTCTCCTCACCCCTGCTCTCCTCACCCCAGTCTACCCTTTGTCCCCACTCCCCTCACCTCAGTATCCCCTCAGCCCCCCTCTCCTCACCCCAATCTCCCCTTACCCCCACTCTTCTCACCCCATCTCCTCACCCCTGCTCTCTTCACCCCATCTCCCCTCACCCCATCTTCCCTCACCCCTGCTCCCCTCAGCCCTCACTCTCCTCACCACAATCTCCCCTCACCCCTGCTCTCTTCACCCCAGTCTACCCTTTGTCCCCACTCCCCTTACCTCAGTATCCCCTCAGCCCCCCTCTCCTCACCCCAATCTCCCCTTACCCCCACTCTTCTCACCCCATCTCGTCTCACCCCATCTCCTCTCACCCCTGCTCCCCTCACCCCATTTTCCCTCACCCCTGCTCCCCTCAGCCCTCACTCTCCTCACCACAATCTCCCCTCACCCCTGCTCTCCTCACCCCAGTCTACCCTTTGTCCCCACTCCCCTCACCCCAATATCCCCAGCCCCCTTTTCCTCACTCTGATTTCCCCTCAGCCTCCTTCTCCTCACCCCAATCTCCCCTCACCCCTGCTCCCCTCACCCCTGCTCTCACCACATTTCCCCTCAGCCCCCTCTCCTCACCCCATCTCCCTTCACCCCTGCTCTGCTCACCCCAGTCTTCCCTTAGTCACCACTCCCTTCACCCCAATATCCCCTGAACTTCCACTCCCCTCACCCCACTCTCCCCTCAGCCCCCCTCTCCTCACCCCACTCTCCCAGCCTCACTCCTTGCACTGAGCTCATGGCACCATCCTCCATCCTAGGGGAACGAGGTGCTGGAGGAAGAGGACATCTCGCCCACCCAGGAGGACGGTACAGGACCTGCTTTGCTCCCAGGACCCCGCTAAGGGCAAGGGGGCGTGCAGGGGGGATAGGTGGTCTTCTTAACAGTCTGTGCTAGCAGAGCCTGGGGACCCTCAGCGCCTCCCAGCTCTTTCCTGGGGCTCGGGGCCCAGAGTCAAGGAGAACACAGGAGACACGGGCGCTGTGTGCTCAGAGGACACCCCCACTCGCTCCCTGAGAAAGGGGGACCCCCAAGCTGTGCAACCAGAAGGTCACGGGCACATTGAGCAGAGACAGCAGTTGCCTCCGTGGCAGGGGGCACTGGGGGCCGGGCCCAGACCCCGCAGTGGACTCCCCGGACAAGACCCAGGCTTGGTGGAAGCACCTGGCTTGCTGGCAAGACTCAGAATGTTCTGGAAGAAGGGGCAGGCATGGGGTTGCCCACACTGGCCTCTCCCAGAGTGGCTCTGAGGGGTGCACCTGTCACCCCGTTGCTGCTGCTTGAGCTGGTGCTGCCTGGGGAGCTGGGGTGGAGCCGGCTGGGGAGGGGGTGGCCGCCGCCGGCCCGCGAGAACTTCACCTTTCCGGAAGCTGCACTGACTGGCCAGGCGTGCTCGCTTTCACAAGACTCACTTCTAAAGTGCTCCCCTTCCTCTCTACATGGCAGTCCCCTGAGCCCCCTCCCCTGAGGGCTGCATTGACCTCCAGCAGAGCCTGAGATGGCTGGGGGCACCCCTGACAGGGGGTCTCCCCCTCCTCAGCTCCGTACCCTTCCCTGGCCCTGACCTGGCACTACGGTCATCCTCAGTGGCCCCCAGGATCTGAGCCCCAGGAGACCCCGGGCTGGCAGGGGCCCAGGTCGGGCCAGCGCGCAGGAGGGGCAGAACCTCCCCCCCCCATCCCACGGCTCCTTCCCGTCCACTCCCCCCAACGCTGTCTCTCTCCGCATTTGGTTTGGTTTGGTTTTCTGTCTCCATCCCCGAAACCCTCCTTTGGAGGCCAGCGCGGCAGGGACGCGGCCGCCCCTCTAACCGCGTTCACCCCGTTGCAGGCCAGCGGACACGCGCTTTTCTAGGCACGGAGTGTGACAATAACAATGACAGCGCCAGCGTGAAAGCACTGGACAATGAGCTGTGCTCTGAGGTCTGCTTACCCGGTGAGTGGCCGCCGGCCGGACATGAATGTGGTGGGGACGTGCTGCTCGCACCCCGGCAGAGGCTCACAGTGGGGGCAGCACGGTGCGGGGGACCCCCACCCTCTCTAGGAGCACCCAGAGGGCCCGCAAGCCTGCCCGTAGGCGCCTGTGCTGGTGGCTCTGAACCCAGAAAGGGGGCCAGGCCTCGGGGCGCCCCTGCCCCTGCCCCTCCCCACGGGGCCTCTCTAGGGCATGCTCTGCAAGGCTGAGCCTGCTCGGGGCCACACCTCCTCCCTCTGGCCTGCCAGGGCCCCCCCATAGGGAATCCCACTCGCCTCCCCGTGCTCCACTAGTGCTCCTCCAGGGCCCAATATACACTGGGGCCCCCACTCTCCTCTCCATGCTCCACCAGTGTTCCCCCAGGGCCCACACGCTGGGGCCCCCACCCTCTTCTCTGTACTCCACTAGTGCTCCTCCAGGGACTCCCCCACTTCTTCATGCTCCACTAGTGCTCCCCCAGGGCCCCCCACACACTGGGGCCCCCATCCTCCTCTCCGTGCTACACTAGTGCTCCCCCAGGGCCCCACACTCTGGGACCCCACCCTCCTCGTGCTACACTAGTGCTCCCCCAGGGCCCCCCCACACACTGGGGCACTCATGCTCCTCTCCATGCTCCACTAGTGCTCCCCCAGGGCCCCACATTCTGGGACCCCCACCCTCCTCCCCGTGCTCCACTAGTGCTCCCCCAGGGCCCCACACACACTGGGGCCCCCACCCTCCTCCCCGTGCTCCACTAGTGCTCCCCCAGGGCCCCACACACACTGGGGCCCCCACCCTCCTCCCCGTGCTCCACTAGTGCTCCTCTAGGGCCCCCCCCCACACACTGGCAGCCCCACCCTCCTCTCTGTGCTCCACTAGTGCTCCCCCAGGGCCCCACATTCTGGGACCCCACCCTCCTCTCCGTGCTCCACTAGTGCTCCTCCAGAGCCCCACACACACTGGGGCTCCCACCCTCCTCCCCGTGCTCCTCTAGGGCCCCCACACACACACTGGCAGCCCCACCCTTCTCTCTGTGCTCCACTAGTGCTCCCCCAGGGCCCCACACTCTGGGACCCCTCCGTGCCCCCCAAAGCTCCCCACCCCCGTGGCCGCATCCTCAGGGAGCCCTCCCACTGCAGAGCAGCCAGGCCACATCCCGGTCCAGTGCTTTCCTCGCTCAGCGAAGCGGCTGCAGGCTTGGGGCATGCCGGCCTTTGCGGTGGCCACTCATTCTCCACCCGTGGGCCTGGGCTTGCGCGCGCACTCGGGCGTTTCCCAGCAGCTCCTCCCGGGGGCCCGGCCTCAGCCCCCCGCTTCTCCATCAGGCAGAGGAGGGGGCCTGACCCGGAGCTGCCCGCGGGCCCTTCCCTCTCCACCTCCCCTGCCTCGCTTCTGTCCGTCTGTCTGTTCCTCACGTCTTTTTTGCCAAGTGTCACCCCGTCTGTGTGTTCCTCCTCCTCCACTCATTCCGTCCTCCGACTGCAAGTTCATGTCCCTCCACCCCGTGCCCACACTGTCCCCCCTGGCCGTGCTGTGCCCGTGCCCGCGGCTCTTGCTGAGCGCCCCCATCCTGTCGGGCCCAGAAGGTCAGAGGACAGGATCCTGCCGTCTCCCCGTACGGGGACTCTGGCTTCGGGGGCCAGGGAGGAGGGGAATGGCCTCTCTGCTGGCTGTCCCCTCGCAGGCTGCCCGAGGCCCCCCACGTGGGCAGTGGGAGCTGCTGGGAATGAACCACGCGCACGTGCTTCCTGCTGCGCGCCCGGCCCGCCGCTTGGCACCTGTTGGCTCCTCTGGGGGTTGCAGAGCCAGGAGAGAGAGCAGGGGAGAGGAGAGAGGGAGCCGGGGCTTTACTGCGCCCCACCTCTGGAGGGAGGGCAAGCACATCTTCCTGGGTGCGTCCTGGCCCCAGTTCTGCCAGGAGCCTCCCTCAGGGCATAGCCCCCAGAGAACCTTCTGGAAGCATCGTCCAGGGCAGCTCTCGGCGCAGGCTCAGCTGTGGGCTCCCTGACGTCCCGTTGGGGGGTTGTCCCTCATCCCTGGAGAGAAGAGCCTGGTGTTCCCCACCCCCATCCTCACCCTCACCTGGCTCCTCCACAGGATACCCAGGTCCTCCCCACCCCTTTTCCCCCTCTGAAAAGCTTCTCATTGGTTTTGGCCCCCACACCCCATCTGGGACAGGCGGGGGGCACACATTTTGAAACTGGAACTTCCTCAGAGGGTGCCGGCCGTGGGCTAATCAGCACCATGAGAACCTACAAGTAGCCGGTCCCCGGGTTCCATGGCACCCCCAGGGGGAAGCACAGTGGCCCCCCGCGGTGCCAAGCACACGTGCTGAATCCATACCAAGAGCCTGGGTTTGTTAGCAGAAGAGCAGCTGTGTTTGTGGGGTGTGTGGGGGAGGACCCCAGCGGGCGGGGCACTGGCTTTGCACATGGCCCGCCCGCCCGGGTTCAATCCTTGACACTCCATAGGGTCCCCCGAGCCCTGCCAGGAGTGAGTGCTGAGTGCAGAGCCAGGGGTTAGCCCTGAGCACTGCCAGGTGTGCCCCCCCCACCCCCCGCATCCCAGCGTTGGTGATTCAGTAAAAGAATCTGATGTTCTGGGGAAAACAGAGACCCCACTCCTCCCCCCTCTCTGGCCTCAAAGTCAGTGGCGCTGCCTGTCCCCCCCCCAAGAACAAAAGCAGGAGCAGGGTGTAGGGATCTCACTGTGCCCCCCAAACCTCCAGGCCTCTTCAATTATCCCCTCGTGGGATGGGGGGGTGCCTCGGGGGTCCGGGTGTCCACTGCTGCTGTCATCCTGTGTCTTCTCTCCCTCACCGTCTGCTTCTGGTCTTTCCTGCCGCACAGCCGCAGCTCGGAGTCAGCCCCTAGGCATTGAGGAATAGGTATGGATGAGCCTGCGCCTGGCCGGAGCCCACGAGCTCGGGGCAACGGGAGCAGCCCCATGGGAGAGGAGGGCTCGCCCTGCTCCTCAGTCCCCAGGGCCGGCTGGGGGCCAGGCAGCCTCCACCCCTCCCTGTCCGATCCTTTCTCTCCCAAGAGGGGGCCGTGTGGGTCCTGCAGACAGGACACGAGCTCAGAGTCGCCCCGAGTCTCCGTGGCTTCCCGTGGGCCAGGGCAGGTGGAGGCATTCAGGGGTTCCTGCAGAATGAGATCGCGGGGGCAGCGCAGGGGGCGTCTGCAGGTGGGGGGTGCAGCCTCTCCTCTCAGGCCTTCTCTGCGCTGGCCGGACTCGGGGAGAATTTGGGGAGAGCCGAAGCGCACGGAGGGAACACAGTCTTCATGGGAGCACTGAGCACAAGTGGGGAAACCGAGGCCCCAGGAGGGTACCCAGGTGACCCCAGACCAGTGACACTGGGTGCTGGCGCCCCCCAGGCCCCAGGGTGGGCAGGATCCAGGCGGGAGGTGGCTGAGATCACCGGTGATGATTGCGGGGAAGCGGCTGTGCCTGTCACTTCCTGCTGGCCCCCCACAGCAAACACAACCCCGGGGGGCTGAGGGGGCCTGATCAGCGCCTCTCACCCCCTCCCCACCCTGCTCGCTGGGCCATCCGGCTGTCCCCACAGCCTCCCACTTCCTCCTCCCGGAAGGAAGCTCTGGGCCGACTTCGCAGCAAACAGAGGTGGCCACACGCAGGGCCTGGCCACAGGACGGGGATAGGCACCCTGGGGAGGGCCCCCACCCCCACTCCCCAGGAGCCCCGTGGGGCAGCCCTCCCTGCACATTCTCACACACACAGACACGAGGCGTCCAGGTGCCCCCGCGCTGCTGTCCACGGCAGGGCTCCTGATACCCACCCCTCTCTCCCCCAGGCGCCTGGCAGGCCGACGACAACGCCCTCAGCCACCGGAGCCGAGCGAGGCCATCGGGCGGCAGGGAGGGCCCCGAGAGCCGGCCCAGCGTGTGGGGCCCCTTGGCGGTGTGAGCCCCCCCCCCCCGCGCCCTTCCCCCCTGGCCCGTCCTGCACAGTCTCTGCAGATCCCGCAGGCTGGTCACCTACCTGGACCTCGCCTCATCTCCTTGGTCCCCTTGAACTTCCCCCTCCAGCAAGACGGATGCCACTGGCTGAACCGCAGCTGGACACTCTCCACATAGTCTGGCACATGTCCCCGAGTGTCGCTCGATGGAACTGAGTCTGGAACTGAGTCTGCGGCATATCCCGACTGGGGAAGACAGCACTGGGCGAAGGGTGGGGGGCAGCTCTGCCAATGAGGGGAGCCTCTGCTGAGGGACGACGGGGTGGGGGGCTCTCAGGGAGGAAAAGTAGCACTGCACTGAAGGGGCCCCCAGAAGACCCCACTCCAGGTGGGCCGGAAAGCTGGTTCTGGCCCAAGGATGCTCCCGCCCTTCCTGACTCTCATCCCAGCAGGCATGAGGGGCTCCTGGGGTCCCCCTGTGTGCCAGGCTGGCATCATTCTGCCCCTCTCCGTCCCCAAGATTTCATCTCACTGTCATGGCCCACGATCTCAAATGGTTTCCAAGCACCCCAGGGAAATGGGCAGATCACGCAGGGTCCTGGTGGCCTGTCACCCCAACCCCCCCCCCCCATTTGCCTCCCTCCCACATCCTCTGAGCCTGGCAGACAGGACCCCTGGGTGCCTGTGCAGAGCACCTGGACACAGCAGGGGCCGGCCAAGTTGCTAGGGGGTCCCTCCTCCACTCCGACTCTGCCCAAGCCCCCCCCCCCCGCCCCGTGAGGCCCTGGCTTCACCTTTGGTCTAAGGGGAAAGATGGGGGTTTCAGGGTGAAGGTGGGGCTGAGTAGGGCCAGGGCACCCCGCCGGTCCCCGGCTTTGGTTTCCCCAAAGGAGCTTTTGGGCTGTGTCCCTGGGGGCATCGCCACCCTGTGTAGTGGGGGGCATCTTAGCACCCCATGAGCATACAGGGCCAGGAGAATCCCAACTGCCTGGATCTCCAGGGTCTGCCCTCTGCCCCCCACATCACAGCCCCTCCCATGTTTGAAATTTCAGCAATAACCCCAACCCCCAGTCTCCCAGGCCTTTGAGCCGAGGGTAGGGCCCCTCCCGAAGTGGTGGTCACCAGGAATGAAGTGGGAAGGTCAGAGGAAACAGCCCTTTGAGCACCATGGGGGGGGGGGGCGCACAGGGCTCAGTGCTCTGTTGACCCCCAAAGGCCCTGCTTCCAGAAGGAAGGAGCTAGTTAGGGTGTCCCGCATCCTGCAGGCCTCTATTCCTACACCTGGGCCCCCATGCCCACCTGACCCCCTTCCTAGTCTCCCGTTCTCATTTTTAATTCTTCGGCAGGCAGAACCCCCAACCCAGGGGCTCTCCCAGCAGCCCCCACCCCCAGAGGTAGAAGCGATGCCCCGGCAGGAAGGAGATGAGGCCCTCTGCCCAGGTCTGAGGGGGAGCCTTTGCACCCAGTCCCGCCCTGCTGTGCCAGTACCCCACACAGGCCACACCCTGGCACAGACCCACACACTGTAAGGGGCTGCCCCCGTCCTGCCACGTGTGCGCCCCTAGCTCCCCAGACTCCATCGGCGGCACGCGAAAGGGGTGGGGGGAAACGGCAAGGTTGCAATATTTATGGATTGCTGCATGATTCTTGAAGACGAATAAAACTGTTTACAAGAGAAGGAGAACCGCCGGCCCCCGCCGTGAACTTCTTCCCCCAGCACCCAGATTTCTGCACTCGGGAGTGGGGGCGGGAGAGACCTCGCGGGTGTGGGGGTCCTGTGCCATCGTACCCTGGGCAGCCGGCTGCAGTCCCCCCAGCTCCAGGCCGTCCCTCGCCACTGCAGCCCTTAAACCAGAGAACGCCCCACACTGCAGTTCGTCAATAATTGAAGAGGCCCAGCGGCCAGGGACTGGAGGGCGGGCGGAGGGGGGCAGTCAGTGCCCAGTAAACCGCCCTTCCTCCCTGACGCTTCAAGTGGGGGGTTGGGGGGGGAACTAGCAGGACAAACCAGCCCACCCTGTGTAGTGGGGGGCATCTTAGTACCCCATGAGCATACAGGGCCAGGAGAATTCCAACTGACGTCCCCCCGCCCCGCATAAGTTCAGGCAAGTTCTGGGCTTTTCGGAGCTGCCGCCCCTGGCAGAAGCCACGGGATGGGAACCCCGGGGGGCTTGCCGAGGGCGGCGGGGGCAGCGCCGCGCGGGTGGACGGGCGGGTGGCCCCGGGCGGTCGACGGAGGTTGCGGGGGTGACGCGGGCACCCGAGCGGGGCGGGGGTCGGGGCGGCGCGAGCCCCGGGGCGCGGGAAGCCCGCGCGCCGCGGAGCCGCCCCGACGCCCGGGCAGGGGCGCGGGGCCGGGGGAGGGGCCCGGGGCGAACGGCCCGCCGGGGCTGGGCGGCGGCGCGCGGCCCGCGGGCGCGAACCCGCGCTGGACGCGCTGGCGGGCAGTGGCCGGGCGGCGCGGGAGCGCACGCGGCCCGGCGAGTTCCGAGAGATGCGGCCGCCGAGCGCGGCCAGCGCCCGCGGTCTCCTTGGAGACGGACCGGCCAATGGCAGCCGCGGAAGCTGTTTACGGGGCGGGGCGTCGCCATGGCAGCGGGAGAAGCCTTCGGCGCGGCTACTTAATGCCGGTCCCCGGGCCGCGGGCGCCCAGAGCGGCGCCGTCGGGCGGGGAGGCGACGAGGGGCTCTGGCCGGGCGCTGGGGCGGCGGGCGGAGAGACGCGGGAGGTGGCAGGAACTTCTTCGAGAACCTTCCTTGGGCCCGGGCGGCGCTCGAGCCAGGTAAGGGGCCGGGAGGGCTGCGGACCGCGGGAAGGGCGGGGGTCGGTACCGGGCCGAGCTCCCCGACCGACCCCAGCCGCGGGTCCGCGGGCCGACGTCGGCCTGGGGGGAAACTGACGTCCCGCCGCCAAAACTCTGTCCCCTTCCCTCCCCTTCCCTTCCCCCGCGCCCCCGCTCGGGGGGTCCCAGGAGTTGGTCTTCAAGGACCGGCTCCTCGCCCCTCGCCCCCGGCTCCCCCTTCTTTCCACTAGTTGCTGGGGGGCGGGGGGCTCTGCGCTCCCCCTCCGGAGACCCCCTAGGCTCGCCCCCGCTCGCCATGCCCCCTAACGCCTCGGGAGGAGAAGGAGCGAGGCGGACCCGGGGCCGGGGGCCCAACCCGGCGCTCCAGCCGTCGGGGCCGTGCCCGGGGGGCGGCCTGGGGGACCGAGGCGGGGGCTTGCCCGGCGCGGACCCGGCTCAATCGCCCCCCGTCCCCCGTCCCCGCAGGCGCTGCGGCGGCCGCGCTGGGAGGCGGATGGCGCGGCGCGTGTAACCGGAGCCGCGGGGCTCGGCCGGCCCGGGCTCCGCCCGTGGATGCCGGGCAGCCCCTCGGAGCGCCCCCGCAGGCATGGCAGAGAGCTGGCTGCGCCTGCCGGGCGCGGCGGCGGCGACGGCGGCGGCGGAGGGCGGCCTGGAGGAGGCGGGCGCCCTGGATGACAGCCTGACCAGCCTGCAGTGGCTGCAGGGATTCTCCATCCTCAACGCCAAGGCCCCGGCCCTGCCCCCGGGCCCCGCCGACCCCCACGGCTACCACCAGGTCCCGGGCTCCGTGGCTCCCGGGTCCCCGCTGGCGGCCGACCCCGCCTGCCTGGGGCAGCCGCACACGCCGGGCAAGCCCACCTCGTCGTGCACGGCGCGCGGCGCGCCCCCCGGGCCACAGGCGCCACCCCCCGACGACGTGGACTACGCCAGCAACCCGCACGTGAAGCCGCCCTACTCGTACGCCACGCTCATCTGCATGGCCATGCAGGCCAGCAAGGCCACCAAGATCACCCTGTCGGCCATCTACAAGTGGATCACCGACAACTTCTGCTACTTCCGCCACGCAGACCCCACCTGGCAGGTAGCCGAGGGGAGGGGGCCCCTGCCTCTCCCTCCCCGGGGGCCAGGCTCCGACCCTGCCCTCCTCACTGGCCAGGGGGGAAGGCCGCTCAGCAGGGGGAGTGCAGGCCCTGAGGTTCCAGGGGGGGACACAGTCACTCCCCCGCAGGACCGCCTGGGGGCACCTTTTCCTCCCCATCCTGGAATTTCCATCCTTCCCAAGACAGTTCCGTCATGGCCCCTGCCCTGGCACCTTCTTCCTTTGGTTGGTTGGGAAGTGGGGGGGCGGGGAGGGGGAGGCTAGGCCCTTCCTGAAACTCCCCAGCCCCCCCCCACGTGCCCGTCCCAGGCCCTAGCCTCCACACCTCCCCCCCTTCTCACTCCCTTGGCCTCCCTGGGGGGACAATTACCCAGGCCCGCACTGCTTTCCACAGGGGCTCTTGCCGCCCTGGCTTCCAGTTCCCGGTGTCAGGAACCCAGCTCAGAGTGGCACGGGGCCAGCCGGCAGTAAACACCCCTCCTGACTGGGGGTCTCTGCCCGTCCCAGGCCCCCAGGCCCGGCACACTGCCCACCTGCGGATGAACAGGGTGGCAGGGTGGGGATTTGGCCCAGTGATTGCTACCCAAGAGTCATCTACCCTCCGACCAGGCACTGCTGGGGAGGACTGAGGCCCCTGGATTCCCAGGGCCCTCCTAGGGGGCAGCCGCAGGGCCAGGCCCCGGCTGTTTGGCATTTATTTGGGCAGTGCCACTAGCAGCCTCTGAAATCGCCCCCAGCCTGGGAAGTAGAGGCAGCAGACGGGGCCCCCAGGCCGGAGCACTGTTCTCTGGGCCCTATAATCATCAACTCTGACTCCCCCCCAGAGTGTTAGATGGGTGAGAAGCAGGCCAGCAAGCCAGTTCAGCAGACACTCACCCCATCACTGCACACGCACACACCACGTGCACACACATGCACACACGTGTACACACATGCACATGTAAGCACACGTGCATACACATGCACACACATGCGCGCACACACGCACAGCGAGACCACTCAGCCCACTGACCACACAGAGGACCATTAGGCCTGGGCACAGGGAGTAGCTGTCCAGGCCCTGGGGGACCGGCGGCCTTTGGCCAGAGAACCCAGCGGCAGGGGAGGAGGGCGGGCAGTGGGGGTGGTACTGGTCTCGGATGACTGAGCAGGCCCATATCCCGGCAACAGGGAACAAAAGCCCCTGCGCTCCCGGGTGGCCGGTGTCCCAGAGCCGCCCCCCCCCCCCCCGCGCGCCTTCCCCTCCCCTGACCCCCTCGGGGAGAGGAGAGGTGTGGGCATGGGGGCGGCCACTCACCTGCCTCTCCTCTCTTGCCCCCGTCCAGAACTCCATCCGCCACAACCTGTCCTTGAACAAATGCTTCATCAAAGTGCCTCGGGAGAAGGATGAGCCGGGCAAGGGGGGCTTCTGGCGCATCGACCCCCAGTACGCCGAGCGCCTGCTGAGCGGCGCCTTCAAGAAGCGGCGCCTGCCCCCGGTGCACATCCACCCGGCCTTTGCCCGCCCGGCCACGCAGGAGCCCAGCGCGCCCTGGGCTGGGCCCCTGAGCGTCAACGCGGACGCCCAGCAGCTGCTGCGGGAGTTCGAGGAGGCCACCGGGGAGGCGGGCTGGGGGGCCGGAGAGGGCCGGCTGGGCCACAAGCGCAAACAGCCGCTGCCCAAGCGCGTGGCCAAGGCCCCACGGGCCCCCAGCACGCTACTGCTGACCCAGGAGGAGCAGCGGGACCTGGAGCCCCTCAAGGGCAACTTTGACTGGGAGGCCATCTTCGACGCGGGCGCACTGGGCGGGGAGCTGGGCGCCCTGGAGAGCCTGGAGCTGAGCCCACCGCTGAGCCCCACGGGCGACGTGGACCTCACAGTCCACGGCCGCCACATCGACTGCCCGGCGCCCTGGGGGCCGCCCGGAGAGCAGGCCACCAACAGCCTGGACTTCGATGAGACCTTCCTGGCCACGTCCTTCCTGCAGCACCCCTGGGACGAGAGCGGCAGCGGCTGCCTGTCCCCCGAGCCCCTGTTCGAGGCGGGCGACGCCGCGCTGGCGGCTGACCTGCAGGACTGGGCCAGCGTGGGCGCCTTCTTGTAAGGGAGCAGTCCCCTCACACACGCACACACACACGCACACACACGCACACACACGCACGCCTCCGGACAGCGCCCGGCCGGCCCAGACTGCCCCCAAAACCGGCCCCATGATCCGCCACAGCCCAGGCAGGGCCTGAGGCCTGGAACCCGAGGCCAGCCGCCCCCTCCCCCGGCTCGGACCCTCCTGCAAGCCCGGCTGAGAACTGGGGGCCCACCGGGCCGGAACTGCTGCCTCCCGCCCCCGGCCCCCATACACAGTGTTTGCTTGATCTCCGTCTTTCCCTGCCCGAGACATCAGCAGAAACCCCTCCCCCGCTGTCTGGAGGGGCCTGGCGGGGACAGCGGTGGTGCAGGGTGCCCCAGAGCCCCTCCTCATGCCCGGCTTCTCCCCGTTCTCTCAGGTCTCTATCCAGAGAAAGTTCCCAGGTACAACAGATGCTAATTAGCTGACAGCAAATTAACCCCCTGGAGGCTTCTCCCGTCAAAACTTCCCCAGGGCCTGGCCGGGCGGAGGCTGGGGGAGGGGCGCAGAGAAGATGCAGTCGGGAGCCGGTGCAGAAATGTTCTCTAAGGCCCTGGAGGGGGGCTGAGCTCTGCCGTGTGGGGGCTCTGGGGTCTGCGCCCGCTGCGGGGGCAGGCGCTAGGTAGAGTAGCCATAGCGAAGGGTTTTAACCAGCAGGCCCCGACCTGAGCTCCTGCTACCTCCCTTCTGCTTCCACCTTCCCACCCCATGGGACACTTTAACCTTTTTTTCATGGAAAGTTATTTACAATACAAAATTTTTAAAATTAAAGTTTTTTAAAATCAAAATGGACCAGCTTGTAACTTTCTTTAGGAAGAATGCCGAGGTCAGCTTGTGTCTGTGTGTGTGTGTGGGGGAGGGGGACGGGGGGTTCTCTTTGTTGGGTTTTATGTGGGGGGATGGTTGGGGCCACCCTGGTGGAGCTCAGGGGTCACTCCCAGCAGGCTCTGGGGACCCTGTGTGGTGTCGGGGAAGGAACCCGAGTCAGCTGCATGCAAGGCAAGTGGGCTCTCGACGGGAGGGTTCTCTGGCCCCCGGGACCCCTTCTCGTCTGAGGGGAGGCTCTGAAGACCTGAGCTGCTCCCTGCCTCAGTGTCCCCGGTGTAGAAGGACCTAGAGGCAGCCCTGGGGGCCTGGCAGTGGCCCTTCCCACCCACACTGGCAGAGCCGGCCCCCATGGTTTGGACAGCACCGCCCCTCTCGGCTCTGGGGACTCCAGGCTGCTGGCTGGTCGCCTGCCCCCCACAATGGGGCCTGCCTGGGCTCGCCTGCCCCACCCCGCCCCAGCCCTGCCTGCCCTCTTGTCCCCTCAGCCTTTCCTGCATGGGGAGGGGCACAGCCCAGAGGCCCCTCCCCTCCCACTGGGCTGTTCACCTCAGCCTCCTGCCCTCCCAGTGCGAGGACCACCACAGCCCGTCAGGAAACTGGGGTGCCCAGGCCTCCCCCCCATCTCCCAGCATACCCCCTGTGCCTCTGATGGGCGCCAGTGCGGGATGGGGGTGGGTGCTGGACTGGGCTGTTTGTCACTGCCTCTCTGTCCACCCCCAGCCAGCTCACTGTGGTGGCCCTCCACACACACACACACACACACACACACACACACACACACACACACAGAGGCCCACGCAACAGGGACATACAGACTCACACGCATACACATGCGTACAGGCCCACACATGCACACATGCACACAGGCACAAACACACAGGCACACACACAGGCATACACAGGCACACACAGACCCACACTCAGCCCTGCAGCCCTGGCCGCCCCACAGCCCCTCCCGCAGCCCCTCACCCCTTCACCCTGCAGGCTGGCGCCGGGCCCACCTGGCATTCCCCGCCTAACTCGCCGCTTTCATTTGCTAATTATTCCAAATATTTCTCTAGGGCACACACAGCAGGCGGGTGGGGTGGGCAGGGCTGCTGAGCTGGCCCAGCCTCCTCCCTGGGGCCCCCCCGCACCCCAACGTTCCCTTCTCCCTCAGCACAACTCTGTGGACCTGGCACCCCAGCTTCGCAGGACTCAAGGGTCCCCATGATCAGCCTCCAGCCTCAGCCAGTGGGTACAGGTGCCTGGAACAGACAGATGGGGAGCGCGCCCCCCTGTGGGGCCCACAGGGGAAGCGGGGAGCAGGTGGGGTCAGGCCTGACATGGAAGCAGGAGGCCCGTGGCTGAACCCCCTGAGCTCCCGCAGAAAGGGGGGCCGCGTCCCACTGGAGCTTGTACTGAGGCAGCCACACGCCTCCTGAAGGTCCTGGATGTTGGGCCAGCACCAACCAGTTGTTCTACACCAGATGCCAGGCTTCTATCCTCAGCACCACCACGGACGAGCCATGAACACTGCCAGGTGTGACTCCCAAACGCAGAAACCAAACATCCAAACAAAGCAAGAAGTTCCTGGGACCATGTTTATTCACAGGTGGGATGGACCCAAGCCTGGGCTGACCCCCTGACCCCACTGTCACTCTCAACTTTGGGGCCACACCGGGTGATGCTCAGGGCTTCCTCCTGGCTCTGCCCTCAGGAATTACTCCTGGCAGTGCTCAGGGACCATATGGGATGCCGGGGGTTGAACCCGGGTCAGCCGTGAGCAGGACCAGTGCCATCCCCTGGACTGTCGCTCCGGCCTCTGGGGGCTCATGCTTGCGGGGGGAATCAGCCCTTTCCAAGGCCAGAAACCTCAGATCTGTGTCTCTTCAGGTGAGCCCAAGGGAGGGGGCAGAGCTCATACTGGGGGGACCCTTCCTGCGCCACTCCTATGGGGTGGCTGGAAAGCACTTGGGACCCCCTAACTCTCCAACTCAGAGAATAAACTCTGGAACAAGGGCCCAGGGCCTCCTGCTGTGCTGGGCTGGACAGCAGCTGCCCCACCCCCACCCAAGAGTGGAGGCGTGAGGTGCTGGACTTGAGGAAGGAAGGCAGCGGGCAGTGGGGTGTCAGGCCCTCCAAGGTAAACAGGTGTATTTGGCCTCCCTGCGGGGGGGGGGTTGGCGGGGCTGGCCCACTGGCAGGCCCGGGCCTGTCCAAGGACCAGGATGAGGACGTGGGGGGCCTCCTGAACAATGGGGTGAGCTGACACATTCCTGTGGCTGGGGATGGCAGCACAGGTGAGGCGGAACAGGCGCCCTGGGCCCCCTGGCCTGGGGGCTGCCACCCAGTGGGGGCCCAGAGGCACATGGGCCTGCGGTCACCTCCTACTCACATCTGGCGGCAGGCCAGCCTGTCATGGGTGTCCGCCCAACCGCCCTGTGTCCAGCTGGTGTCAGCAGGGACGGGGGAAGGGGGCCCCTTGCCCAGGAAGAGCATCATGGCCCAGGCTCCCAACGGTTCCCAGAAAGGCCCGTCACATTGCCCACTCTGCTCCCGGGCAGGAGCGCTGGGCCTCACTTTGCCCTTGAAGGAAGCAGCTTCCAGAATTTCAGAAACCAGCCGAAGGCCAGAGCCGGCCGGTCCTGCAACCCAGCCCAGGGCCCCATAAAGCCAGGTCCCCATGGCCAGCCGCTGGGAGTTAAGGAGCCTGAGCCAGCCAACCAGCCCCCGCTGCCCTGCCCCCTCACCGGGCACTAAGACTGGCCCCAGCACCAGCGCATCCCCAGCCACCTCCTTGATCAGAGTGAATGGGTCGACAATGTGTGTGTGTGTGTGTGTGTGTGTGTGTGTGTGTGTGTGGTGCAGCGCCTGCTGCTCTGAGAGCTCAGGGGCCCAGAAGCCCAGAAGCCCAGGGGGCAGAGCCGGGGAGGGCACCTCCTGGCCCGTTCCTCCCGGGCTCCAGCTCCTCGGGTAGTGATGCAATGAATGAAAGGATGAAAGAACGGATAAAAGGACAGATGATGGAGGGAAGGATAGGTGGACAGATGGAATGATGGATGGATGGATGGATGGATGGATAGAAGGATGGATGTAAGGATAGATGACGGATGAATGGAAGGATGGATGACGGATGGATGGAAGGATGGATGGATGGATGGAAGGATGGGTGGACAGATGAAAGAATGGATGGATGAAAGGATGGATGGATGGATGGAAGGATGGATGGATGGATGGATGGATGGATGGACGGGTGGATAGATGAACGGATGGATGGATAGAATGATGGATGAGCTACTGCCTGCCTGAACAGCAGAGTGGGGAGCTGGACATACAGCTGCAGCCGTCACCTCTACGGCAGGAAGGGGAGGGGGCCGTGAGAAATGCCCAGGCCCCTGTTCAGGAAACTCAGAGGCCCCGGGGCTCAGTGTGGGCTCAGGAGGGTCAGGTGGGTCCTGGAGCGGCTTCAGACCAATGGGGGGCGCTGCTCATTCCAGGCCTGTGGGGTGAGAGGGAGGGAGTGGGGACTGGGACCCATCAGGGGCAGAGGGGGAGGGCATCTGCTCTCCTGATCCCCAACCCCTGGGGCCCGAGAGTGAGCATCCTGCAGAAGAGACGGGTCACTCATTACTTTCTGATGCCGTTTTTGGGGCCGCTTGAGTGATGCGCAGGGCTCCCTCCTGGCTCTGTGCTCTGGGGGTGGATGTCGTGGGACCAATGTGGTGCCAGGGATCAAACTGGGGTCAGCTGTGTGCAGGGGAGCGCCCTGCCCATGACCATCTCTCCAACCCTCATCGCCCTTTGTTTTTTAACCCCACCCCAAGCTCCAGGGTCTGGAACCCAAAAGAGCCTGTGGCCACAGGACAGCTGGGCCTGCCTGTCCCCAGTTCACTGGGGTGGTGGAACCCATATCCAGAGCCCTGGGTCTCACCGAGGCCGGGGGTCCCCCAAGCCTGGCACTGGGTAAAGTTTAACCTTGGGGCTACTGCCAGGGAGGGCTGAGTCCTCCGCCCAGGTGCCAGGACGGTTCAGGCCTCTCCCGCCATTCTTGCTGCTGTGAGAATTCCATTCTGCGAGGGAGGCACAGCCCACCCCAGGGGACAAGGAGGATCAGTGTGTTGAAGATCTGGACCCGGCCTGAGCCAGAAGACCTCATCAGCCGACTGGGCTCCAGC